CGGCCGCCACATTGGAGACTTAACTGTTCTCTCTCTCTCTCTCTCTCTCTCTCTCTCTCTCTCTCTCTCTCTCTCTCTCTCTCTCTCTCTCTCTCCTGCTCTCACTCTCTCTCTCTCCCTCTCTCTCTCTCTCACACACACACACACGCACACACGAAAAATAAAGAAGTAAAAGCTGTGGCAGTGTATATTTCCATGTTCTGCTCGAAGATTCATTCCGATTTTGATTCATTCCCATTTTGATGGAAAACTCTCTCTCTCTCTCTCTCTCTCTCTCTCTCTCTCTCTCTCTCTCTCTCTCTCTCTCTCTTGCACGCATGGGGGGGGTGCCGACATTTGCATCGAACAGCTCCTTAGTCCATAGACACACACATGAAAAAAAAAAAGAAGTAAAAACTGTGGCAAAGTATATTACTATATTTCATACTTGCGGCGCACTTAAGCGGTGCGCCGTGCGCCATGCGCTCACGGGTGATGTGTGCGCACGTGCGCACGGCGGGTACTGAGCGCGCACAGGCAGTGCGCTGGAGTGCGGCCGAGTGACCCCCATGCCTGCTCATCTGCGGATGTGCCTTTCTTTTCGTTTTTTTTTTTTGTGTGTGTGTGCCGTTGATACAAGCGTTTGTCTGTTGTGCCACGAGACCATTCTGCTGACACTATCGGACCGAACAAAACGCCGGTATCAGTGGACACTATGGATTCTCGACAGAGGGCGTTTCGTTCAGCCCGATAGGCCCATTGCTTTTCCTTCTTTTTTTTCTTATTTGTTTTTGACAAGTTTTTGTCTTATTTGGGAAACAGTTACAGTCTGTTTACTGACAGGGCCTCGTTCCACTGCTCTCCACATGCACAAAAGACCAAAATATGGCGGTGTATCTTTCCATGTTCTAGCGGAAGATTCATTCTCATTTTGCACATTTGGAGAGTGGTGGAGCGAGGGCCATACAACGGTAGCCTGGGGCCTCGCTCCACCACTCTCCACATGTGCAAAATGAGAATGAATCTTCCGCTAGAACATGGAAAGATACACCGCCATATTTTTTGTCTTTTGTGCATGAGTAGTGGAACGAGGCCCTTGCATCGCACCGGACTACAGCTGGACTTGGAGCTTACTTGCACCCCTCATGTGACAGAGGTACTACAGCGGACGTGTAGTTGAGAGAGGCCCTACGGATTCTGGCGGCAAGTAAGTTGTAATAGGGCCTCACTCGACTACTCTCCAATTTGTGCAAAATTAGAATGAATCTTTCACTAGACCATGGAAAGATACATCGCCATATTTTTTGTCGTTTGTGCATGTGTATAGCTACTGCGTGTTTCCACAGTGTTGGTTTTCAACTTGTCACGGATGTTCTCTTTCTCTTTTTTTTTTTAAAGCGAAAGCATCTATAAAACACAATGGTCAGTTCTGTCGTTTTCTATACCTGAAAGTAATGAGCCGAAAGCAACGGTTCCACAGACGCGTCCTCATCATGACCGTATTGGACCTCTGAAAGGGCTCAGATACACTGAAGATAGCATGGAGTTGTGTACAGCAAACATGACAACACACACAGGTTTTGGGGCCGCGCGGCCCTGAAAAAAATTTGCGCGGGCAATGTCCTAATATTGGCTGGGCGTGGGACCTTCGATTCMCCCCCTCCCCGACTTTTTTTTTTTTTGGCTGATCCTGAATTTTGCCCATGTGGCGCACCGGGTGCGCGCGCCACGTGCGCAATGCGCAGTGCGCCGCATGTGCGCGAGTGGCGCGCATGGGCTGCACCGCAAGTATGCGATATTTCCTTGTTCCGCTTGAAGATTCATTCCG